GGGGGGGGGGGGGGGGGGGGGGGGCGTACTCTTATGTTTTGCATGCCAAAGCGGTTAAACCATTGACCACGCGTCCTCGAGAGGACGGAGCATTGTTCCCACAGGACCGCCTTCGATGGCCAATCGTTCCTTCCTACTTTGCCAAAGGTGGCTCAAAAATGTCTTCCCTAGTTTGTCTATCCTAACGATATCCCCTCCTGCCTTTTCAAACCACTTCCTACTCCCCAGTACAGCTACCGTCCTCTCCTCTCTATTCCATGCCTCAAACATCTCCCTGTACCTCCCTTCTATTCTTCCCAGCTCAGTCATGTACATTTCCCTCTCCTCTTCGTACCACGGACATTCCGCGGCTACATGAACACGGTCTTCGCATTCGAAGCCGCAATCACATTTGAACTTGTCGTCTTCGTCGTCTACCGTCCTATGTCTTCGTCGACGTTCTCGATGGCCGATGTCCCCGGTCCTGAATTTGACCTTCAGCTTTGTCCCTGCATCCATTGGTCCATGAAGGTAATCCTTGAACCCTATTCCTTCTTTCAACATTCCGTACACTTCTAGGCCCTCCTTACCCTCGGTTTCTTTCCTTAGATTCTGTTCTTCTCTCTCGGCACAAGCAACAGATATCTTCTCCTTGAACCCCTGTAGACCCTCCCTTTCCAGCGTTTCATCTTCGTCGATGTCGAACCCCTTCCATACGTCCTCTAAAACCTTGACTCATTCCGTGGGTTGTTTACCCCTCTTTTTGTTTGCCCACTTCGCCTCCCTGGCTATTCTCGGCAACCTCTCCTCTCCCATCCCGCACATGCGATACTGCCATGTCAACTTCCTTGCGTCTCTTCCCGACCGTAGGGATTGGATCCCCAATTCTGCCCTCACGGCTGCATTACTTGTGCGCTTGGAGCATCCTAGGATGATTTTCGCTGCTTTCATCCGCGCCGCCTCGAGTTCTTTCACTACCTTCTTATTTCCTTCCCATACTTCTCCGGCGTACTCTAGCGGCGGTACGATTACGCTCTTCAAAACCGTCAATTTGATGCGTGTATCGAGGTGCCGGTTTCGAGTATTGGGTGCAGCTTCCCTGCTCGTGCTTTGCCCTTATGAGCTACCTTGGACATGTGTGCATTCCACGAGCAGTTTTGCGATCTCTACTCCGAGGTATGTGTACTGGTCCACTACTGCAATCTCCTCGATCCCCCACTTCCATCTATGTTCTAATGGTTCCTCCTTGACCTCGTTGCACACCATGACGGCACTCTTCTTAACGTTGGCAGACAATCTCCATTTATCCGTAAAACTTCTTCGCCGCGTCAATTTGTAGTTACAGTCCCTCCGGGGTGTCCGACATACCAAAAAAATCATCCGCAAACAGCATTCCTGACACCGAAGTTTCCCTGTCCCCTACTTTTACTCCCTTCCGGACTGCCTCTACGACTTCCAACAGATCGTTGATGAACACCTGGAACAATGTCGGGGACAGCGTGCAACCTTGTGGGACCCCTTGCTCAATGTCGAAGAATGTAGAAAGTTCTCTGTCGAGAGAGAGGGGGGGGGGGGGGAGAGAGAGATGCTCTGCTCTGCCAAGAGCACCACAACAAAAAAAAGGAGGGGCGATTGGTGGCAGCTCTCAATTCAAATTCCTCGCGTGCGTACCTGTAGGTAGAGACGAGTACAAATAAAGCAACTGTGGATAAAGATGAGTGTGTTACTGCTGTTGCTGTAAAACAGAAAAAAAAAATACATATGTTTGGAGAAGTTCTGGGGGTGTTCAAGACGACATACCGTAAGGTTGCGAGTCAGCGCACAGGGGTGCGATCGATTTTCAAAGCGTAATTATAATTTCTCCACAACCAGAAGGGTGCGAGCGCCAACTGATACTTCTCAGGAAAGCTCTCGGTGAGATATTTCCAAAACCGCCCTTTTCGACAGCAGCAGTGGTAACCTCCTGGTTGTGGAGAAATTACGCTTTGAAAATAGCTCGCACCCCTGTGCGCTGACTCGCAACCTCACGGTACATCATGTCCCATCGTATGTGGGTTATTTCGCTGTCCCATCCAGGAACCGTCGCTCGCGGTTTCTGATCGTGGGGTGCACGCAGAAGATAACCGCTCTGCGGTGCACGCCGTTCATGTTTGACACGCGAGAAAGGTTTCAGGTGCCCTTGCCTTCCCTCGAGCAAGTGCCCTTAACGAACAAGCGGCTAAATCGGGATAAGAAATGCGGGGAAACACGCAGCACACCTGCTCCGTATGCCTAAAACCCCCTTGACGAAGCCATCAACTTTTGGGGTCAAATTTTGGCTCCATCACTCTTCACCTGTTTTTTACCTCGCAGAGAATGGCATGACTGTCTCCTCCTTTGATCCCCTCGACAAGGGGGGGGTGCAGGGGTACGGGAGGAGAACTAGAGGGTAATGACAGGTCGAATCGCGGGACGATTGTACCGCGGGTTCCAACAGCGAAGTTGCGCCGCGTCTACATACATCTATATATGTGCTTGAGTAAATGTGTAGCGCTACTGCTTCGGGCACGCGCGGAAGAAGCAAGTCGCCCACCGACGGAAGGAAAGGAGGCACTGGGCAACCTAGAACTCGGGATAGGAGGTCTCGCTTTCTCTCTATTTAGAGGAAAACCTTGAAACATCTCTTTCCGTGCCCCGTGTTCCACGCCCCCGCCAGTTGTCATCTACAATCCCTCCTACCAAAACGCCCCCCTTCGAATATTTTTCGGGCGGCTGATAGGGAAGAGGCGGCTCAGGCGGGGAGGCAGCTTTGCACTTGCACCCAGGTCTGGAACTGTCCGCATTAGCCAATCAGCGGGCGCCTTTCTTTTTTTTCGTACATTTCTGAAATTTCGCAAGAAGAAGAACGAATTTTCTGTGCGTAGGCGCTTAAACCTGGAATTAATTCGATATCCCACCGATGATACTGTACATAGTACAGAGCCTCGCGGTCACGGCATGAGCTAGTGTTACCCTTGGTTTCCAAAACAATGCAATGGAACATAATCAGTACACGCACTTTCGCGTGTGCCGAAGTAGGACAAGAATGAGATATATGTGGTTTAGTATGAGGCATTCGAAACGCGGTACATGTATTACACGAGACAAGCGCTGGTCGTGTCAGGCGGCGTGGGGGGGTCTCTCTTGTTTAGAAAACAGCACATGTGGATGTACCTCGAGACTTTCCAGCAAGATGGTGACGTCAGATGACCTGTCGGAGATCTCCTCTTCGGACTATTTCCACAAACATAAGAATCAGAGGTGGACACGCTGAACCCGCGTACAAGTTTACTACTGCTGTAAGACTTCAAGCATATCCCCTGAGACCACTGTGTTACTACGTCTTGAACGGGTAGTCTTTCCTTGAGTGAAGTACCGTATATGACACAAGATAACACACCCCCTGGACCGATTTTCAAAGCTCGATTACTCCACGACGAAGAGGATGCATAAATGAAACAATACGTTTTCGAACAGCTCTCGACGAGACGGTTCCAACGCCGCCGTTTTCGGCGCTGTGACTCTTCCTGCTGTTGAGAAATCGAGCTTTGAAAATCGGCCAAGAGGGTGTGTTATCTTGTGTCATATACGGTATGTGTTTTCAAAAAGTATCGCGGGCCTGCTGCTGCTGCTGCTGCTGCTGCTGCTGCTGCTGCCCCTTACAACCATTTACCGTACACGTCTTCAAGCTCCGTCGCCAGGGGTTGAGCGAGGGGTTGAACCTGGTGCGTGTCTTCCACACGACAGGAACTCGAGCCGCAGCATTGCGACCCTGGAGACCCCCGTCTCATAAAAGAAGGGAAAAAAAACACTGGTTGGATGCACAATAAATACCCCGACAATCGTTTGTTTCTTCATATGTAATCCCATGAGGGTGCCACCGATAGCACACCCGACGAACCAACTACCCAACACCTTCCTTCTGCACCTTCCCAGCATAACATACGGATAGATTAGCAGGATGACTACCAAACTGTCTTGTTGAGCCTGTTACCCACCGAGGGGAGATATCGCTTTGTGCTGCTCGGGAAACCGTGGAAATACAGGTAGCTTCCTCTGACGCTATGAATCCATTGCTACTCTATCTTAGACTCTTCTCCTAGATAGAGATGGATTCGTTGAGTCGTATTTACAAGGGGGTGTACCTCTTTCTCTCTGGCCCGTGATGCTGACTCCTAGTCTCAGTAGTTACCTCACATAGCGCGCAAAGGGAGCGGAGGACTCCAGAATATCTGTCGTTGATTTCTATTGACTTGCGGACCCCTCGGGGCCAGTTTGTTTGAGCTTACCTTTTTAGCGTAAGTTAGCCTGTGACCACGGGAATCGACCGCGTCGAGTGTTGGATCAGTACGGACATATGAAGGTGCTGGGTAGAGAGAGATCGGAACGGTTTTTAATGTGAAGACAACAACAACAACAACAACAACAATTTAGAAGAAAAAAAAAACAGAGACTAGTAAGGAATAATAAAAACACACTCAGAAAGACTACCCATTCGAGATATACCCACAGTCGAACGGGATGTGGTGGAGTCTTTTCAGTGAGTGGAGGGAAACCGGCTGGGTACTGGACTATCTACCCGTTCGAGATTTGAACTTGTAGCATATTTACCGCAGGTATTCATACATATGTAGTTGAAGGAAGGGGATGGACATCTTTTCTGCTGGATACTGGGCTTCTTCCCTTGAGCTTTTACCATCAACCAAACTCCCCCACCCCAAAATCTGAGCGGGTGCGGCGGTGGGCAGCGCAGGCGGTCAGTCACGAGGTTGCGCGGCAAAACTAAATTAACTCCCCGTGATAGCCCGGCTGGACCTCCGCCTGGGATGTATCTTGTTCTTCGAAGCAGTATAGTTCGGTAACAAACAGAGGCTCAAACTTTCACGAAATAAGAAAATAGGGTTGACAAACACCACTGAGTGGTGCATCCTACGTAGACTAAACTGTACTGGTATGAAATACTGCTGTCGCAACCTGTAATCGTAAAGCAGTGGAGATGAAGAAAAGAAACTGAAACCTCGACCCGATTTATTGACATTTTGACGTTTCTTTTCATCTCCGGGGCCCGTTCTTAGGCGACACCGAAGGTCTGCCTGGACACACGTGCAATGGGGATGCACATACGGCATTCGCTGCGAATGGTCAACGCTTGTAACACACTATCGCGCACAGACATACCTAATGATACTGACGATGGTTTTGGTGTCATGCGTCTATTGTAACGAGAGAAAAAAAAAAAAAGAAGCCGCATCTTCCTCTTATCCTCTTGTACCGGGAGAGACGGGAAAGGACGCATCGCATCTCCGACAGCAGTGCAACGTTTACGTTTTTGATGCATCTGCTGACGGCCGGCAGCGACCCCGTTCACCAAAGCCGGCCAGGACATCCTTCTTCTGCAACGAGTCCCTGCCGTCGAATCCTCTCTTTACTGCAATACAGCAGAGATATTTTGTTGGCATATTCGCCGGTGCCTACCGCTGGCAGCTGGTCGGGTGTGCATGTGGTATCCTGTCCTCAGTTATTGTCTGCTCGGCGTAAAGTTATCCCACCGGATACAATGTTAGATAGGTTTCTCTTGTGTGGCTCAGCCCTCTATCCGACGTACTATCGTGAGCTTGCACCGACGCACCTGAAAGATGCAGCAGCCGCGTTCGATGGACGAGACCCGTGATTCAAGTACGGGGCTTTTCGCCCTGGAGGCGGGGGTGGAGATGGGGGATATGGTGATTGTAAGAAGGCCGCCCCTAGTCCGAAAGGCAAGTGAAATTCCGCTGGAGAAGCGCCAAGTTTCCGCCGTGTGCTGCTTTGTTTGCTGAACCAGCGTGCTGCAGCCAACACCCGGCTCTCCTTCTCCCTCCTGCGCCCCCAACTTGTCCTAGCTACTGCTGTCCCTCTCGTGTGCAGTGCACAGGCTTGAGTGGTTAAAGGTGTGTGTGTATGAGACAGTATGCAGCGTCGAGAGGGGCACCGTATATCATGTTGTGAAAAGGTAGGTAGGGTACGACTGTGGGGGGTACGGTAATGCGTGGTGAGAGGCTTGGCTTGCTGGTGCTTCTCGTATCACACCACGACCCTCAGACAATAGCATCACCTGCTGGCTTCGTTGCGTGTGCCGACATCGTCTCCTGTGTATTCCTTCCCTTCCTGTGTGCTCGTCTTCCGTGCTGGCTGCTGTTGCACTCGGCTGATTGTTGGCAGGAGTAGCCTCTGCTGTAGCCTGGTGGAAATAACATGATCCTGCCCGTGATTGTCAACGACGGCCAATCGCCCCCTCGAGCCGATGCCCTTACCACCCGACTCGCGGCCCTATCAGAGCTGGTCATCCAGCTACCTAGTGGAGGAGGGGCAGGGATGGTGGCTGGCTTCAAGGCCTTCCTGGGCGAGTTCGCCTGCCGCGTGGGGCCGTTCGACGTGCTCGCAGGAGACAGGGACGCGAATGTAAGCAGCGTGAGGCTCATTTCAGTTGCTGCCGCCGTGTTTTGAAGAAATTGGCATCATCTCCAGCGTCGACGAGTTCGCGATGTTGCTTGCTGCTGCATGCATGGATATGCAGTGCCGCTGTGTGTATGTGGACGTTTCGAAGTTGAGAGCTTTCAAAGAGATATCGAAAGGTACAAATATGTAGGTTGTCTAAATATACTTGGAGTCATCGCACGGTCCGGAGTGATGATCGCGCAATTTTGAGTTCAGAACAGGGCCGTCTGGAGTCTGGAGTTGTCGCACGGGGGTATGGTGGCTCGCAACCTACGTCGGGTATGTAGTTGAGCGCCAAAGACTCCGGGACACCCTTATCCCCTGTAACCATGCCGGTGCTGGCCTATCATTGTGTAGCTCCACTGCTGAAAGAATGTATGGCACCGTCGCAAACCACTTCGCAGTTGTGCGGAGGAGATTCAATTTGGCTATTGCAAATACAACTTGTACTACAACCGTTCCATTGACGCTTGTATGCATATGCATGTGGATGCAACTCTCACATGTCCACTCAACCGAAACACGAGGAAGAAAACGCAACCACACAAGCAAAGACAAGACAAGACAACTACCGTCGGACGTGACTGCCGGATGACTGCTGTGTGTCGCGTGTGTATGCCATCTTGTACTCGACGGCGGGAAAATTCGAAAGTTCGGAATTTTCGAATATTTTCGTTTTCCGCCGCGTACTTGTTTTTTTTTAATTTCTTAATTAAGGAAAAATAGATACCCACACAGAAAGACTACCCATTCGAGATATACCCACAGTCGAAGGGGATGTGGTGGAGTCTTTTCAGTGAGTAGAGGAAAACCGGCTGGGTACTTCATATGACACAACGAATCCATCTCTATCTGAGAAAAAAGTCTTGTTTGTACGTTTGGCCGGGATGACGGGATTTTTTTATTTCGCCGCGTTTTTCATTTCGCCGTATAACGGACATCAGAAGAAGGTTAGAAGGTACTGAGGGCCGGTCTTAACGAAGGAATCGGTTCCCGATTTCACTTCCCGATTTGATTATAAGACCACAAGATCCAAAGAACTCTCTTGTTGATTGGCTAAAAGTTCTGGAACCCGTGGAATCTTTAGGACTTATAATCGGATCCCCCCTCTCCAAATCGGGAATAAAAAAAAAGGTAAAATGATTTAGTCGGATCCCGATTTGGGTGAAACGAAACCAACTTCGAACATTAGCGGTCCAGTCGACGGCAAGTGACGCACTGACGCAAAGAAAGTAGTGCCGTGGCAAGGCGCCACACCAAGCCGCGACACTAATCCAGCACGGAGTGCGCACAGGCACACCCACGGTGGGGCACCTTGTTGCGCAAGAGCAGTAGAGGAAGAATGTCCTATTCGCAAGGCGGGGGGCGTGACCAGGAGCATCACCAGCATCTGGTCCCGAAAAAAAACGTGTGTGGGATGTATGTGTTGGTCTGTGGGGCAATCTCCCGTGGGTTGACGAACTTCAAATGCACAGACGAATTGGCGGCAAAAAGTGTCACATGCATACACATCGTGTCAGTACCACACAGAGGCCATGTACGCGTTTGGTGTGTGCTTCTCGGGCGCGATAGCTCCCCATGTGGTGTGGCCACGTCATAGTAGAACGTCACAACAGCAATCTGGCAGTTGGCAAGCGGCGGACCTCTCGGGTTGTTCGTGGCGGACTGCAGAGATTCGTTTCCATTTGGCAGATCTCCCGTTAAGACACACAGGCCATTTCTGTCCGGATTTGGGTAGATCCGACTCTTGTATTCTTATAATCAAAGTCGAAATCGAGAACCGATTCCTTCGTTAAGACCGGCCCTGAGCGGAGACCGGAACGGTTTTTTAATGTGAAGACAACAACAACAACCGGCAAACCCGGAGTCCCGGAGTATATATTTTTTTGTATCAGTATGACCCAACGAATCCATCTCTATCTATAGGAAAGAGTCTACAAGATAGACTAGCAAATGACTCCATAGCGAGCGACAGCGAAGGTTCTGTATTTCCGCGATTTCCCGAGCAGCACACAGCGATACACATCTCCCCTGAGGGTAACAGCGTCAACGAGACAGATTGGTAGCCATCTTGTCCATCTCTCCGTATGTTATGCTGGGCAGGTGTAGAAGGAAGGTGTTGGGTAGTTGGTTCGTCGGGTGTGTTGGTGGTAGCACCCTTGAAGAAAACACAACACATACACACACGGTAAAGGTGTTAAATTGTGCAGTTGTAGACTCAACATATGCCCAGGGTACAATCATACCCAGCCGGTGTTATGCCGTTTACTTTGTAAGACTTGAACACATTCCCTTCGATTGTGGTTACATCTCTGTGCGTATTTTCTCTGCGCGGCATGTATGTGTTTTCTCAAAGGCAGCCTCTGCGCTAGTGATGTGTGTGCGTGTCTATATTATTAGCATCGACCGCGCTAACCGGCTGACCAGTGAAAAGACCTCAGTCTCAGTGCGGTTGAAAGCACAAAACACTTCTAAATGCCATGAACTAAATGCCGTTTCACTGGGACCCCATGAGGAGGCGGCATGGGGGAGGCTAAGATGTGTGTGTGTGTGCGTACGTTGCGTGTCGAGCCTGCAACCGCGACAAAACTGTGGTATCCGTACGTCCGCAAACATTTATTCAAGTACCGCACATACCGGAGTTATCGCGAAAGGGGTGTGCGTTAAACATCAAAAACGCCAATCGATTTAATTTTATCTCCGCACAGGGTCCGGAGTCATCGCACCCCTGTGCGATGAAAATGAAATGGCGGAAAGACGACCGCACGGGGGTGGGTGTGATGACTCGCAATCTGTTACGGTAGCTTTATGCATACATGCAAGTATGCATACAATCGGACTCTCTTGGGTGTTTTGCACGTGAGCGCGTACCCGTTCCAAGTGAGCGCATATCCACGCATGCTAATTGTACAGCAGCAGTCTAAAGGTAGTTTCGCGGTCGTGTACTGTCCCTTCTGCTGCCCTTGTGTATCCCATCGTACTTAGGCGCCGCAATCAGTGTGTGGAGCCAACGGAGAGCACCCCGCGCACGCGCCCTTGTCGCTCGTGCCTCACAACGACCCTCCTACCTTCTCCCCAAGCTATGAACGTTGGTCGTCATCGTATGATACCGACGCCCACCCCGTCTCGGCAAGGTGGTCGGATACAATATGGTATGCCGTAGGTTGCGTAAGATACCACACCCCCCGGACCGATTTTCAAAGCTCGATTACTCCTCCACCAAGAGAATGCCGAAGGAAAACGCCATGTGTTCCAACTCCGCCATTTTCGGCACCGTCACTGCTTTCCCTGCCGAGTAATCGAGCTTTTGAAAATCGGTCCAGGGGGTGTGATATCTTACGCAACCTACGGTACAGCAGTTCTGTCGTCGCAAACCCCTTCGACCACACGCCACACACGACCGGGGGGACTGCATACTGTACACCGGAACCCACACCCACACCCCAACTCGTGGATGGCTTTGATGACGCATTCACCGGTGGTTCGGCACGGCCTAACCAACACACCTGGGTGGCTCGTCCAAAGCCTCAAGAGATGCACGCCTACTTGCTGCACGCGCGGTAACAAAACGCCACGCAGACGAGGAGGGCGAAGCCAGAGTCAAGACGGTTTGTATCACGACGCCACCTGCCTGCCCTCTCACGCGCGCTTTTTTTTTGCGAAAAAAGATAAAAGAAAAAAGCATACGCCTACATACACGTGGTAGAGAAACCGCGCACACGAGGGGGTCCAAACCAGAGCCAAATATGTATATTCACGACACCACCGTTCTCCCCTTTCTCCCGCGCGGTATGTATCTTTTTTCCGAAAAACAAAAAAACAGACCGACGCCGTCGTGGCCTGGCTAGACTCGGGAGCACGCCGCGTGATCGTCGCCCTCGATGTGTCAGACCCGGGCGCCGTGCAAGGCCTCGCTGATTGGTCAACGCAGCTCCCGGCGTCGCGGCACCGGCTCGTGGCCTCTTTCCGCGCGCGGGACCTCCGGATGGATGCCGGGGGGGGGGGGCTAGGGGAGGCCCTCCGGACGGTAATGGACGGCCTGAGGCCGGTCGTCAGCTGCGTCCAGGTGGACTTCGAGGGTGCCTATGCCGCCGCTCCTCAGGTGCGCCACAGAGTGTTTCCTAAAGGTAGGGGAGGAAAATGATATCCGTCTTGGATGTCGGGTGCGTCAAGAGTGGTCCTTCCGTAGAGGAGGATACGGTGAGACGAAGTATAGTCCTTGGATACAGAACACGCCGCCACCTATAAGTTTGGCCGTGGCTCGTTTCGGAAGTCTGTCTGTGGGGTACCTACCCCTCACGGCGATTATATAGGTCTTAGTGTAGGCTTCAGCTTTTTTGACGGAGCAGCTATTTTTATGGCCAAGTTCTTAGATTTTGGATGTTTGATGGCTCAACTTCTTAACTGCTGTGAAGCGGTGTCGCATTCTGTAGTCCAAGGGGAGGCACCCCCTGGATAGTCTTAAGGGGAGGCAGTTCGCCCCTCCGACTTTCGCAATCGACCTTGGAAACTTTCGTGTGGAGTGTCCTCCTTTGCCGGTAGAGGTCAGATGGACGGGAGGGGTTGTACGTGAGAGTCGGTTTTACGTCGCTGGCAACCTAGACATTCGATGTCCAGCCTATAGAGACAGGCGCACACACTGCGTTTTGTGTGAAAATGCGCGGCGGTTGCATGTACATAAGAGTCGGTTTTACGTCGCTCGCAACCTAGACATCGATGCCCAGCCTAGGACCACTCTGTAGAGACAGGCACACACGCACTGCGCTTCTTGTGTGAAAATGCGCGGACGGTTGCATCAGGCACCGCTTCAACTATTCCTGCCGCTGCCGCTGCTGCTGCTGCCGTTTTCCTTGTCGCCCGTGTATGGCAGGTCCTGAAGGAGCTCGGCGGCGTCCGGGGGAAGGAGGGGGCCCCGGGATACATGGAGGTGGTATTTACGCGCAGCCCGGCGCCCGCCCCCGCCACCACCACCACCACCGACGACGACAAAAACAACAGCAGCGGCAACACCGGGTGGTCGCCAGAAGGGATCGGGAAGCTCCACCACGAGTACGGCGTGGACGTGCAGTGCCCCGCTACGCTGTCACTGGAGGGCGAGGGCGGCGGGGGGGGAGGGGGCGGGGAAGGGGCGGGGGCGGGGGCGGGAGCCGGGGTGGATGCGGTGAGCGCGTTCCTGACGTGTCTTCGAACGGACCGGCCCGACGGGCTGATGACGACCGTCGTCTGCGACACCATGGGGATCGCGCTCGGGCTGGTGGGTGTGGGTCGGGCGGGGGCCGCCTTCGCGGGATATTCAGTGTTATAAGGAAATAGGACAAGGAGGGGGCACGCAGACCCTATTCCCTAACCCTAACCCTAACCCTAACCACCCTGACCCTAACCACCCTGACCCTAACCCTAACCCTAACCCTAGCCCAACTTCCCCGATTGTATGCGTATGGTTTATCCAACATGTTTCCCGAATACGAAAAACTTGCGAAGGCTAGTGTCGGGCGGGGGGGGGGGGTCGATGGGCTTGGGTGGCTGTGTTTTGGTCGCAGGGGCAGGAGGCGGGGTGATCTGTTGCTCGGGGGTGGCATGACGCGAGACACGAAAAAAGCGTTGCCGTGAGAAAGGACAGGGGGGAAAGGAGGTCAGGACGATATGTGTCCCACCCACCTGCTACCCACCCGGCCAACACTGCGTACGGGCCCCCCCTCTCGGTTTTGTGACTGCCTCCTTGATTGATTGTGTGTTAACCTCGTCTGTCTCTTTCCTGCGGATGCTGCCGTCCGATACGCCCAAGAGCGTGTAGCATGCGTACGCCCGAATGTCGAGCGACTCGTAGTGCACGTGTATGGCCCACACGTACTGCCAGCGCACACAACCAATCTCTGTTTCAGAAACGATTCGGCGGTGCGGGATCAGCGACCCCCTACCCCCCCCCTCCTCTCTTTCACGCACGCCCAACTTGCGGACCCCCCCCC